TTTCTTTCTTTCTTTCTTTCTTTCTTTCTTTCTTTCTTTCTTTCTTTTATCCATTCATCCATCCGTTCATTCATTTGCTATATCAATCTTCTATATCTTCTACAGAGATCTTTCTTTGTAATAATTCCAGCTTAAATCTAAAGAGTACATGTAATTATAATTGTACTAGTTCTACAGAAAGGTAAGTAGGTACAGAAGTAGGTACAGTAAGTAGGTACAGTTCTACAGAAAGGTAAGTTGGATGAGTGCTGTTAGTTTTAGATTCTTATCAGGAAATGTTTATTATATGCTGCTTTGAAATCTTCTTCAGAATCCGAAATCTCAGGAACCCGTGACTCTGGATTTTCTGGATGCAGAGTTGGAGAATGACATTAAAGTTGAGGTACGTTGGAGTCATCATTTGAGATTTTCCATGATGACAATACAAGTTAGTTCTGAAGCAAATACAAAGGTCAGCAGCCATCTTAGGCATTTGGGGCTCAATTTTTTTTATAGCATCTAATTTTTCTTTTGTGCCTCTTGATGGCCCAGTATTCTTAAGACAGCATTCTTCAGAAGAAATTTGTAAGAATATTTTGTCATGAAGGAATTAGGCAAATGTCCTAATTGTCTTCCAGAATTCAACATAAAATTTAGGGGGAGGGATAAGTTTCAAAAATTAAGATGGAGGGCACGACACTGTGACCAACATTTTGTCTTTTTAGATACAAGTGACAGTAACACATGAACTAAAGGTTAGACTTTGAATATGAGCCAATCTACCATCTTGAAGTTTTTGACTCTCCTTCCCCTGGACACCTCTGATAGGCAACATTAATAAGATTGTTACCCAGTCAGCTTTCATGATCTAACAAGCAATCATTCTTTGCCATAACTCATACAAAAAGTTGGATTTTTATTGTTTTGCCTCCTGGAGTTTTATCCGTTTGGCTATGTTAGCATATCACCATAGTGTAAATGTGTTTTTTAGCCAATACAGGGACAAATAAGGGGTACAAAATCATAAAAACATATATAAAGAATGTAACAGCAAAGCTTTAAACCTGATGGGGAATGACGGATTTTAGGGTCTTTCTTAAGAATTTTCAAGAATTTAGATAAATCAAAGGTAACAGAGGAAGGAACGGTACTTCAGCTAAGATTTCAAACAGTTCCTGTAATATCTGCAAAAGACATTCGATATTGATTAAATCTGTGGTTCAATTAATTGGTTGGGAAGAAGAGAAAATAGAATCAGAAATACATGAACTATAGAATAAATTCTCTATTTGCATAGAAAAAACTACTGAGAAATGTTTAACTTCACTTTGTAGGAAGAAAAACAACTACAGATAAAAGATATTGTGAACTTAATGCATGGCAAATTTTCCTATCTAATGTAGATTGAACTATGACTAAAATATATATAATAATTACTTGTTGTCCCTGAAAATTAATGACAACATTCAATGGTTCTTTGATTATCACATTTGATTAAAGTTTATGAAAACATTTCTTCTTGTAATATTTAGAACATGGTCAGAAGGAACAATGCTTACAATAGCACTAGCAGTAGCCCTTAGACTTATATACCGCTTCACAAGGCTTTACAGCCCTCTCTAAGTGATTTCCAAAGTCAGCTACTTGCCCCCCAACAATCTGGGTCCCCATTTTACCTACCTCAGAAGGATGGAGGGCTGAGTCAACCTTGAGCCAGTTAGGATCGAACTCCTGGCAGTGAGCAGTGAATTAGCCCGCAATACTGCATTCTCACAACTGTACCACCAGGGCTTAGAATAGCAATAGCACTTAGACTTACATACCTCTTTATAGTACCTTACAGCCCTCTCTAAGCAGTTTACAGAGTCAGCCTCTTGCCCCCAACAATTTGGATCATCATTTTAGTGATCTTAGAAAAATGGAAGGCTGAGTTAACCTTCAAGCCAGTCAGGATCGAACTGCTGGCAGTAGACAGTGAGTTAGCCTGAAATACCGCATCATAAAGAAGTATGAAGTGACTTCTTAATTTTCTTAACCTGTAGATTCGGAAAAAGATGATTGATGGTGAAAGTGGCGACAGGACCTTTCAAACACTGGTCAAATCTCAAGATGAGGTGAGAATACAAAGATTTGCTTTCTGAGAAAAAGAAATAAGTTGGCTAAATGGACGTAAAACAAAAATGGCGGAAAGTTAAGGCTCTAATAGTCACAAGTCCAGAGCTAGAAAATTAGAAAGTGGATCATGGCAGGTGCTCATAGGGAACAAAAACACAAGATTCCTCTTCCTTCCAAGCCTATCCTTTTAACTATTACACAAATATAGGTAGTCCTTGACTTACGACAGTTCATTTAATGACTGTTCAAAGTTACAACAGTACTGAAAAAGGTGATTCATGGCCATTTTTCACATGACATCCCCATGGTCACATAATCAAAATTCATGTGCTTGACAACTGACTCATATTTATGATGATTGCAGTGTCCCAGGGGGGTCATGTGATCCCATTTTGTGACCTCCTGACAAGCAAACCCACATTCATTTAACAACGGTGATACTAACTTAACAACTGCAGTGATTCACTTAATGGCAGTGGCAAGAAAGATGGTTTAATGGGGCAAAATTCACTTAACAACTGTCTTGCTTAGTAACAGAAATTTGGGGCTCAATTATGATTGCAAGTCAAGGACTGCCTGTATATGTATGTTTGACTAGTTCCCATCTCTTGGGGAAGTGGGAAATCTTCACACTAACGTTTGTGAAGTTGCAAGAAGAAAATGAAATATTTGTCAGGTTTCCCAGTGATGAAAACCATTTAAAAAGAAAAGAGCAAAGTCCATCTTTCAAAACAATTTCTTTTATTTAGGAAAGCATCAAATTGGCAATGTCTGTTGTAATTCCAGATCTGACACAACTTCACAATTACACCACACATTATTGGAAGTTAGAAACAGCCCCCAAAAGTCACATTCTCCAATAGAAGTAAATCAATGTTGCCTGGTGTCATCACCTCCAGGTCTCAGCAGGGTCAGCTTTTGTTCCCATGGGAAGAAGAACCACCTAGCCTAAACAACTCTCTCTATCTCCACTCCTCCCAAGCCTGAAACCCTTCCCCCCAAAACCAGCAAAGAGAAAGAAAGAAAGAAAGAAAAGGAATATATAATAAGGCTAAATAAAGTGGCTACACATATGTCAATTTCAGGCTTGACAATATTATTGAGTGATTCCCTCCCATTCCACTTAAAACATATACGTATATATCAAATCGAATAATTTTGATTGCAAACTTTGTTCAGGATGTTCACAGCTAAGTGAATACCGAAAGCTGCTTTGGGGAATTCCAAAAAGTCAGAATCTGTTCATGCCTCAACTGTTTACGGATTATTACCTATTATAATTTTTCTGAATATTATTAGGAAGCCCACAATGCAGCTGCTGAACAATTCTTAGCTTTTCATGAAATCATTGTTTCTGGTTATAATGCTACTATATGCTACCGGGAGCCAGGAGTTGTTGTGATAAATGATGAAAACTGAATAACTCCATTCTTTGGGGATATATTAACTCTGATTAAATCTCCACCAAGCGTCAGGAGACCTTCCAAAATTCTCCATTGTATTGCCTGCTCCATTCATCCCATTCTGTAATTAAACAAGCTGAAATGTTCAGATTAATGTTTGCAATGCCAGGATCAAGCTTGCATTCATCCTTCAAAGGATGTGAGTCGTAATGATCCTAAAAGAGGAATGAACAACACCAGGTCAATTTTCACCTCCCTGATCTTTGAAATTGCATCCAGGATTGTTGGTCCCAAATGGCCAGAAATAATATTGACTGGAAATTCATTAAAGCAATGCAATAGTTCAGATCGAATCTTTTCACAGAACTGCAGACAGAAGCATCCTTCGTGTTGTGTTAATTTTTTTTTTTTTAATGATAAATGCAGCATCACAATGGAAGCTCCATCCTACTTGGACTTGATTGCCTGCCCCTGTCACCTTTAGTTGCAGCTAAGTCATTAATGAAAGTGGAAGGAAGTTACAGAAAGAGCAAACTACTTTAGGGATTGGTGAGCTGTATTCCAGATGCTGTCATACACCAGGGAAATTGGGAGATTCAGGTAGTTTAAATAAGCATAAAGATTTACTGCAAGCTTAAGCTCTCTGCAAGAATCTGGCCAACTAACACTCAAGGGAAATGAGCGGGAGATAAGAAAAGCATTCAAGGTGGGCTGGACTTAGCTTTCTTGTGGGCATGCAGAGACTTGTGACTTATGACACATTTGACCTCTCCCTTGGGCTCAGCTTGGTCATCTCTTACATCTGCTTTCAATAACAAAGATTTCATTAGCTTCAATCACATTAATGTTCCTAAATATCTTTTATTTGAATTATTATTCATTGGAGTCCATCTTAGCTGAAGAAGATTGTCCAAACGCAGCACCAAATTGAACAATTTAAACAATCAGATTTTTCTACTTTAATAAAACACTTTTCAAAATAGAAATCTGCACATTAGCTTCTGAACGAATTATGGGTTTTGTCCTAATGGGCTGAGATATAATGATCCTTGGTTCACTTTTCAGCAAAGCTTGATTCTTGAATCGTATGGCATGCTTAAGCTTTCCTGAGATTCTTGATAAAATGTTGAAATTCATTTCTAGGCAATAACTACAGTATTCAGCCAGTAGATGGCAGTGTTTACAAGTTTGGATCTATGCTCTTTTGTTCTAAGTAGAGTTTCTTGTTTCCTGTTACAGTCAAATGGTTTAGCAGTAAAGCACATAGTGATTGTTCTCTTTGTGTGATCTGTGGTGTTATATATAAGCAAAATTTTTAACATAAAATGATTTTTCTGGCCTATTTTTTTGCAGCGTTATATTGATAAAGGCAACAGAACGTACACATGGACTGCTGTGAATGGCACAGATTACAGGTAATCAATTAGGAATATTTTTTTTTTCAAAACAAAAAGGTTAAAATGCCATTGTTCCTGACATTTCAATAGTAAAAGCATCCTATGATATCTGTTGGATGGCTAGCTTGCTCTGCAACTTTCTGAAAAACAGGATGAAAATCAAGGTAGAATCTTTTTCCTCTTATTCCTTTGTAACCAGTTTGTCTTTGGAAAAGTTTCTGTGGAAAATGATTTAGGCTGCCTGGTGCAAATATCTGTGAATATTTAATCTTTCCCTAAGGATTTTGGATAATTCTTCTCTAAGTTCCTCTTTAGTCCTCGTCTTTCTTTTCCCCTAACCTTTTCAAAAGGTAGAAAGGTAGGAGAATTTTCCCTGACCTTAGAGATAAATTGATTCTAGGGGCACCAAAGATGCTATCCCAAGCATCTATATGCAGCCTTTAACTGATATTTTTCATTACTCAGGCAAACACTTATTAATTACCTATTAATTATCCTTGGTTGTAAAAACAGAGGCATAGAATCAAAATCATGTGAAGTATTAGTACTGCTTTATAAAGCCTTAGTAAGGCCACACCTGGAATACTACATCCAGTTTTGGTCACCATATAGCAAACAAGATATAGCTGTTTTAGGCATATATCAACCATGGGAAGTTAGGCTGAAAATTGCAATAAATAGAAGGCCTTTTCTGCACTGGAGTTGAAATTCCAGACATTCAAAGGGTTCCCCCAATTATTTTTCCATGCTTTCGGTACCAAATTAGGAATAAGTCGTGCTGTAAACAAAAACCTGGTGCTAAAAAAGGAGGTGGTACAAGCCACCTTTCATGCATCATGGAAGTTGATTTGAATTCTGCACATTTGGCAGAAAATTGATGGTCCTTATAGTCCCAATTATACAATTCTTTCTGGCCTTGACAACATAAGCCACCCAGAGTTGTTTAGCTATGAGATGGACAGGGAAATAAATTTCATAAATAAATCAGTAAAATAAACATTCCTGTAGCCAGAAAACTATCCAGGTCATTTACGGTTTTCCAAAATTCTATTATTCTTGCAATGATAGAGGGTAGGTGCCACATCTCAGTGCATTTAAATGGAAATCCTTCCTCATCAACACTTCTGGTGATGGATTGTCCTGCAGCAATTGAAAGAATGAATTCATGGAGTGGCAATTTCTCTCCAAAGTTAATGCTGACATTTGCTCATTAGCCACCATTGTTTTTCCGTTTCCTCGCTCTGAACTGTAAACAGCAATTTCTCCTGACTTATTACTCTCCCTTTCTCAATGCTGCTTTGCATATGTAATATTTCTGCCCAATATTTCTGAAAGATCTTTTGAATTTGGAAAACAATAGCTGTGAAATCTCCTGGGAGCCTCAAGGCAATAGGCTTATTTATACACACAATTATAGTTTTCAATTAGTTCCATTTTTTTCCCTAGCAGGAACTGGGAATGGGAAGGAAAATCTCCCTGATTTCCCTTGGCAAATATTAGTGAAAAGATGTCACACGAGATAATTAATAATTCTTCTTCGAGCAGATTAAGTGACAGCCATAATGGTAATGACAAGAGTTATAGCTCAAGAGTCTACAATTTCTTCTTAATGCTAATTTCAGCAGTTATCTCAGGAAATATTAAACAATAAGCATCCCACAGTAATAAAATGGTGATGAAGCCCAAGAGGATGTAAAATATTCATGATTTAAACATGATTTTGACAACAGTCTATAATCTCTGAGGCTATTTTCGATCTTTCACTGCCTTGTTTAGATATACAAATTAGTTATGTTTTAATTACGTCTTGAAGCCATGCCACCCAATTCAAAAGTCCTTGCATTTTTTTTCACTTCATGAACTATTATTATTTGGCATACGATGAGAACATGACAGAAGAGAAATAAACATATATACACAATCTATATAATTATAAGTCAAACTTCTGTGGGGATACGGCAATGGTCTTACTTCTGGATGTTCAATTAAACTATGCAGCAATCACTTGTGTTGCTTTGTGCAGAAATTCTAAGGAATCAGTGAATGCACATTGTGAGCAATTGTACAAAATATAACAATAGCAATAGCCCCTAGACTTATATACCACTTCACAGTGCTCTCTAAGTGGTTTACAGAGTCAGTCTCTTGCCCCCAACAATCTGGGTCCTCATTTTACCAACCTCAGAAGGATGGAAGGCTGAGTCAACCTTGAGCCAGTCAGGATCAAACTGCTGGCAGTTGGCAGAATTTGCCAGTAATACTGCATTCTAACCACTGCGCCACCACAATTCTTAGCAATAACAATAGCATTTAGACTTATTTACTTCCTAGTAATACTTTATAGCACTCGCTGAGCATTTACAATGTCAGCATAGTGTCCTCAACAATCTGGGTCCTCTTTTTACTGACCTCAGAAGGATAGAAGGCTAAGTCGACCTTGAGCTGGTCAGGATCGAACTCCTGACAGTGGGCAGCGAGTTAGCCTGCAATATGGCATTGTGACCACTGCACCAGTGTGTTTAATAGTTTGCATATCCGCCCTACAATTGCAACAGGGGGAATCTGATACGGGGCAGAGGCACTTCTTCCAGTATCACATTTTGTGATACTGGAAGAAGCATGAATAAAACAATAAAAAACAGCATTAAATAAGGAAGAAGTGAAAGCGATAAATGGAATCGGGGAAGGAATTGACTGAATAAAAACAGTGTTAGATAAGGGAGTAGTTTTCATTTTTGATACTCTGGAAAGGAATGGACCAAATAAAAGCATTCCGTCAAACCACACATCTATCATTTTGTCTGTAGTTTTCAGGTTTACATCTTAACCTGGGGAACTGCTGTTAAATCTCAAATGAATATCGGATTATTCCTTGATTATAATTGTTTGGTTTCTTTCACAGCTTGGCTTTGGTATTACCATCCTACAGCTTTTACTACATAAAAGCCAAGATTAATGAAACCTTAACTCAGGCAAAGTGTAAGTAACTGTGAACTGACTGTTACAGCCCAGTGAGAATGATTCTGCCTTTTTTCTTTTAACACAGCATTTTGAAAGCTTGTGAAATTCACTAATGTTCTCGTGATGTACCGCCCCCAATGCTACAGCAATGATTCCAAGCCTTTGTGCAAATATCCACGGAACAAAAAGTATTTTACCCAAGTAGAATACATTCTGTTACCCTACGGGCTTTAAGTACATCTTGATCTCATCTCATCTCTTGGTTTACCTACCCAGAGAATCATTGCTTTGCATATCCTCTGTTGTCTTTTGTAGGGTCTGATACTTTAGGCAATGTTTTGAATAGCTCACCAATGAGTTGCAAGTTGGGTAGTTGGAAAACTAGTGAAACTGATTTGTACGGTGCACCTAATACAGCTGCAGCCTGTGAAATACTTACTTCATGCTAGATGTTTATGGAGATTCTCTTAGACTAACTTGATTCTAACTTTAAATTTACACTAATCCGCATGCATTAAAACAGGGGTCTTCAAACTTGAGAGCTTTAAACTTGTGGACTTCAACTCCCAGAATTCCTCCTCCAGGATTAGGAATTCTTAGGAGGAATTCTGGGAGTGGAATTCCTAACTTAGGAATTTGGGGAGTTGAAGTACACAAATCTTAAACTTGCCAAGTATGAAGGCCCTTGTATTAAAATGTCTTATGGAAATTCTCTGTTATCCAGATCATGGTTGTCCCAAAGGGGCTATTTTTCAAGAGGCAACTGGACTTTCTGTTTTTTTCTTTGAAGACGGTTTGCTTCTCATCCAAGCGAAACATCTTCAAAGAAAGATGCTTCTTCTTCAGCACCAAAGAAGGTTCTTGGATGAGAAGTGAAAAGTCCAGAAAGTCCAGTTGCCTCTTGAAAAAAAAAACACCTTTGGGACATACATTAAAACGAAATGTCATTGCGTTCAGCTCTCGAAGGATCAATATACACTACATAAACACGACAAAATAAATAAATGATGCATATACCCACAAACCCACATATATTACATGACCCAATCATCCAGGTCGTGGTGGTCCCAAAAGTGCTTTGTCCAAAAGCAGTTGGACTTTCTTATTTTTCCTTATTTTGCTTCTCATCCAAAAAGCTTCTTCACCTCTGACTGAATGGTGGGGAATGGAAGGTTTGATACTCCTTGCAGACAGCTGGTCATTTGCATTCTTTGAGACAGTTGTTGAGGCCGCTTGGAGGTTTGTCCCTGTCCTCAGGGTCACCTGAGTGGTGAACATGGTTCCTGTAGTCTGCAATTTTTTTCTTCTGGAAATCCATTCCTACTCCTATAGCATTCCACTTTTCGAAAGGGACCTGGGCTTTCTTAAGTTTTTCCTTGAAGATGAGATTTACGTTCTTGATGCTTGAGTCCTGCTTCAGATTTACGACAGTTACAAGGTTGCAAAAGTTTTGCAACCTTGTGACCAGTTAATGGGGTCAAAGCCAGACTCAGTGTCACTAACTGAACAGCTGCAGTGGTTCACTTAACAACGGTGGCCAGAAAAGTCATAAAATGGGGCAAAGCTCCTTGAACAAACTTCTCACTGAGCTACGTAAATTCTGGGCTCAGTTGTGGTCGTACGTCGAGGACTAACTGTCCGTTAAAAAACCCTTGGCCAGAAACATGCACCAAAATTTCAGAAATACTGTTGTTTTATTTCCTCCAGAATACAGCTGTACAAAAACTGAACCTGCAATCTCTCTCTCTCTCTCTCTCTCTTTCTCTCTCTCTCTCTCTCTCTCTCTCTCTCTCTCTCTGCCACAATATTTTTATTCACGTGGCTAGTTGAATAAAATATTGGCTTGTGACCCCTTTTGTTTTACCCTGTTTTTTTTCCTGTTTTCTTGCCTTCTCTTTCTGATGGATTATCACAGTCTTAAAGGGCAAGTATATAACACTCTTGTTGCTAATTCCCCTTTGTGTATTATTGTTGTTGTTTGCCATTTGTATTTCATTTTTCCTCTTGGCTGCCACCCTTTGTACTGGTCCCTAAAAGTTTTTTTTTTTATTTCCCAATGCTGGTTGGGTATTATAGAGGCAAAAAAGCTAAATGTGTCTAAAATGGCATTACATCTCTCCTCCCTCTGGCCCATTTTTGTGCGTTACTAATCTTGTGACTACAGGGACGTGGTGGCTCAATAGCTAAATCGCTGAGCTTGTTGATCGAAAGGTCGGCAGTTCAGCGGTTCGAATCCCTAGTGCCACATAATGGGGTGAGATTCCATTACTTGTCCCAGCTTCTGCCAACCTAGCAGTTCGAAAGCACCTAAAAAATGCAAGTAGAAAAATAGGGACCACTTTGGTGGGAAGGTAACAGCATTCTGTGCACCTTCGGCATTTAGTCATGCCGGCCACATGACCATGGAGACATCTTTGGACAGCACTGGCTCCTCTTCAGCTTTGTAACAGAGATAAGCACTGCCCCCTAGAGTCAGGAACAACAAGCACATATGTGCGAGGGGAACCTTTACCTTTATCTTGTCACTCTCTGATCCTCATGTGTTTGCTCCTCTCCCTTGCTGTTTTTTGCAAACCATCTTCATTTTATTTCTGGTCTGGAGCCTTTATGCATTTCAGCAATCCTGAAATGCAATAACTCTCAGGTAAACTGAGTTAATTAGCACCCATTTTGCAAATGCAAATGAGTTTGGTTCTTCCATCCGGGTAGTTTCAATGGCGATGTGTCCAATCTGGGCATTCTTGACGGAGGTGGCAGAGAATGCATCCCACACTCATCGTCCCACAATTGCAAATGATACAAGGGCTGTTGTGATGTCACAGTGCTAATTCTGTTTCCTTTGTATGGCTTGCTTAAGGGCAGGGCTTGCATTGTGACATCACAACACACCCATTTCTTCACGTTCGCCCGAATCTCTGGATTCAGTCAATGCCTCTGACGATGATTCAGCTCACTTTTAAGTTGCAACAATTTTAGATTGTGGTTGTTTTTCCTAAGTTGCTGTTTTATAATTGGATCTATTCCACATCTAATATGAAAACATATAAGTTATGGTCATTAGGCAAAGAAGATGACCTGGTCATCTGAACACTAAATATGCTTGTGTTTCATCTCAGTTGTCTACGAAGACTGGCTACGGTGCTTTCCATAATCTATTGAATTAAATGTGGAATTCATCCAGGTGTTTTTGTGGCTAAACATTTTCGCCCATCGACCAATACTATCAAATGTTGAATTTACTTCATTTAACATTTTGCTTTTCTCTTTGCAGTTATTGCAACCCTCAAGCGAGAATCCTTTGACGAAGTTGGATATACGTTTTTAGCACCCAGGTTAGTCATTTTTGCCAGTCGATCTTCATGTTGCCAAATATTAAATAATATTTCTTGATTGATGTGTAATTACTTCTGGAGGAATAGGACTATCTAATAAAGTAGAGCAAGTCAAGATTAAGGCCCTATTGAATTTAAAGAATAGATTGTGAATAAATATTGCATCCAGTTTTGGGTGCTACGATATAAAAAAAAGATGTTGAGACTCTAGAAAGAATGCAGAGATTAGGGGTCTGGAGGCTAAAACACATGAGTTGCAGGAATTGGGTATGTCTCGTTTAATGAAAAGAAAGACTAGGGGTGATATGATAGTAGCTTGCCCAATGTAGCATTAGGGTGAGAATGTCATTTTTTCCATTTACTTTTTTAGGGACTACTGTAGCACAGTGAAAATAACAGACAATAATACTGTATTTCTTCAAAATTTCATTGAATTTATGGATCAATATTCACCCGAAAACCCTTCATGTAAGTATGGCCTTTTCAATAAATTGCTCTTCGACAATAACACATCAGTTTAATTTACACAATAATGGAGTGAAACACGTGGGAATGTTCTGAGATACAATAGATAGACCAAGATTTTACCAATCTTGTTCCTTTGCTAATAATTTATTAGTAGTAGATAAATTATCTTCCCTTCCCTTCCCTTCCCTTCCCTCATCTCCTTTTCTCTCTCTCCTCTTCTCTCCTTTTCTCTTCTCTCCTTTTCTCTCTCTCTTCTCCTCTTCTGCCCTCCCCTCTCATCCTCCCCTCTCCCTTTCTCTTCTCTCTCTTCTCTTCTCCTTTTTTCATGGTAGGTAATGGTTTGGTGATGAGAGCTTTGTTGGATGCGGGCTTCACAAGTGACCTGGTCCAGAATTACTGGAGTAAGCAGGACCCGTGAGTATTCCTTCTTCGCTTCCTCTACCCCAGGCCATGAATAGCTCTATTATTTCTGAATCCTGATGCTACCTTCAGCTATCAGATCAGAATTTATTGTTTGAACAATCCAGCCAAAAGAAAGAACATGATAAAATGAAGAATCTTTTTTGTTCTGCTTTAGAGGAACATTCTAAATAAGCTCTCGAGGATCCTGTCCTGTCCTTCTCAATAGATGTTGATCTAAAAAAAAATTCTCTTTCTAGCGAGGGAATCACAGCACGCTTCGTGGCTACGGATGGAGGGATCACCAGAGTATATCCCAAAAGGTAAAAGAGGGTCATTTAATTTTCAGTAGGGGTGAGTTTGCTAATGAGTCATATGCTCAAACATCTGATTTGAGGCCAGAATTCCTGCAAAGTCCCACCAACATGGTGGGAATGAACAATTAAAATAATTGTAATGCAATAATTTGATCCTCCCTGCATAAAACACCTTAGCTGGGATCAATTTAAGAAAGGCTTCCTTTAAAACATGATACCAACTGCAGAGTATGTGGAACAATACCCTGGTTTAGATCTTCAAAGTAAACAAAAGATATGTTGATCTGTAAAGTCGCACTCTCAAAAAAGAAAGGGAAAATTGGTGAAAATTTCACCCAGGGGTTAGGAAAAAAAGAAAAGCTTGCTCAGTTCACTCGCGCTACTGCTCAGTCTTTCTCAATCCCTTCTTCCATCCAAATGTCCTAGCTTGGTCTGGCCATAATGGCTGTCTTCTTCTCCTGCTAGTTTGAGGGCTTCCTCTGGACCTGTGAGGGGTTGCTTTCCTCCTCATGATCCACGGAGCGTCCCCTCTTCTTTGTCACCTCTCCGGGGTGACTTTTGGCTCCCTGGGGGGCCTGCTGACAGGTAGAATTAGGCTGGATTAGCGGAGTCCCACTAACCCACTACCGTATTGCCATGATGTCAGCCTCTCCTCCTCCCCAGTACAGATCTTCAAACTAAACAAAAGATATGTCAATCTGGAAAGTTTGTAATGGTAATTCTCACGAAATCCAAAGTGTGAGTTTTAAAGCATACCAAAAAAAAAAAAAAGTTTAATCCTATTTATGTGGCAATAGTTTGAGTTCCAGCATGCTCCTTAAGAGCTGTTCTGGAAAAGTGTTGACTTTTGGGGACAGATAAACACAATTTATTGTTTTCATAGATTTTCACGGGTACAGGTATGCAGGTCTTGGTGTGTTCGGGTCTTTTCCCAAGTAAGATTGAGAGTATCTTGGCAACGTTTCGACAATGACCCAGGAGATTACAGCACAAGACCCAGGATGTCAAAACAATAGAACTCAGAAGGTCATCACACAGCCCATTACCAATGTCGTTACAACACAGGAGGCGAATAGACACATAGCCAATACCTCAGCCACACATGTTCTTACAAAAAAGCCAGCCAATCTGCAAATATCAACTCCATCAACCAATCAAGAACTGACAACACAGCCAACCTCCCCACCAGTATATATAGGGAGACGGCAGCTCCGATCACACTTTGCTCGCACAAGCACAAAGCCGAAAGTACCAGCCTGAAGCTGGCGAGTGGGACCTCGTCAAAACGTTGCCAAGATACTCTCAATCTTACATGGGAAAAGACCCGAACAAGGCAAGACCTGCAATTCTTTATTGACATCTACTTTTGAAATTGTATTTTAGAAATGATTTACTTGCGATTGGAGTGCTTGCTAATTCAAGAAATGTAGTCTCAGAGGCCTCTAAATTTAGTCTCAGGTGTCACAAAAGGAATGGCTTCTGCATCACAACACCATTTCCACCATCTTGTCTTTTAGACAGATACCATTCTATTATGTTTAACTCCATTTTTAAGATTCTCAGTTATTATAGCTAATAGCATCAAGGATCCTATTTCTCGGCTTGTTACTGATAACCGGCCAAGTATCTCAGCTGCTGTGTAGATATATTTATTTATTTTGGATGTTTTTATTGTTTCTTTTTTTAAATTGCTTTTGGGTTTTAATCATACTGTATCAAAGATGCCCAGTCATCTTATAAAGGAGCAGCATAAAAATTCAATCCATCAATCAAACAATATTTTTTTGAATTGTAAGTTGCCCAGAGTCATTGACTAACTGAGATGGCAGCTATAGAAGCTGAATGAATGAGTGAATGAATGAATGAATGAACACCAGAAAAGATAGTGCCTTGATTTCAATAAGGCTTATTGTCAGTATACCCATTTTGTACTTTTCTCATAATATTTTTCCCCTCAATCTTTATTTACTTAGTGTCAGCCCTATGGGGTAGATCACATTAGGAAACTGAATTCATTGGAAGGATAGGATAGGGTAGGATAGGATAGGATAAAATAGAACAGAACAGAACAGAACAGAACAGAACAGAACAGAACAGAATAGAATAGAATAGAATAGAATAGAATAGAATAGAATAACAGAGTTGGAAGGGACCTTGGAGGTCTTCTAGTCCAACCCCTTGCCTAAGCAGGAAACCCTATATCACTTCAGACAAATGGTTATCCAATCTCCTTTTAAAAACTTCCAGTGTTGGAGCATTGACAACTTCTGGAAGCAAGTTAATTAGTTATCCCCTGGTTAATTGTTCTAACTGTCAGGAAATTTCTCCTTAGTTCTAAGTTGCTTCTCTCCTTGATTAGTTTCCACGCGTTGCTTCTTGTCCTATCCTGAGGTATGGCAGCTCCTGAGATATTGGAACACTGCTAAGACCAAAATTATGCTTTATTGAGAGAAGATATAGGAACAGAATCAGAACACAACTGGTTGTGTTTTCCTTTTCACCCCATTTTATTCTCCAGAGAGTTGGAAGGAACATGTCTGAGTCTCCTTTTAAACCTTTCTCCACCTCCCTGGGCTTAAAACTTGCTTTTTCTGTACCTGTTATTATCTTAATAGCTTCTGGGTGGCTTTGCCAAGCTCATCTCCCTGTCTCTCTGCCTTGAGTACCAACTGCCTTAGCACCATTTAAAACAACAACAAAACCCAGTAAATTACAATTAAAAAATAATATCCATGTCTTATGTTTAGTGCAGGCGAATATTGGACAGAAAATGCGGAAACCTATGAACAGAGCTTCTACAAAAGGAGTTTAGATAATGAAAATTATATCTTCACAGCTCCATTCTTCAACCGTAAGTCGCTGGGCACTCAGAATATTCACAATCTTCTTTGGCAGTGCAGGTTCTATTATATTTTTTTTTAAAGTTTTTGAATATAGTTGGTGGAATTAGCCTGCACTACTGCATTCCGACCCACTGTGCCATCACAATTAAATGGAGAATTTTTTGTATTGCAAACAGAAAATTCAATAGTAATCTTCAACTCTGCAATTGTTTATCGTTAACACCGATCTGTTGCAGTACCTATTCTGGATAGCAGTGCACAATTTAGCAATTGTTACACAAAGGTACAATTTTAGATAAATCTGAAAGAAAGAAAAAAGGATACATAAAGGCTATAATGCTCCCTATAAATTTACCAATACTGTAAAATGGTGCCGAGAGATTTGTGGAAAGCCACACTTAACCTAAACTTTCATGTTGGAAATATATACACATATATATTTCCGTGATCTTTTTAATAAGACCGTATATTCCCAGGCAGAATTCCAGTCATGTCTGAACAATGATCATTATTATTTCTGATAATTTTATTTGTGGGCATCTTGTTTTCTGATTGCATCACAGAGTCCACCTAAATCTTAGTAAACTATTCAGGAACAAACTCCTTTTTGCTTAGTGTTCGAATACAGATGTGAGTAGAATGATACCATTTTGGAGTTAATCTGAACAGGGGGAAACAAGAAATGCAAAATAAGATGGATGAATGATTGATTCCTAATGCACCAGTGTCATCCAAGGGCTATCGGTGCTATTAATAAAGAGACATGTCATAATGGCAAGTCAATTCTATTTTCTGTTTCTGAATCCTCAGGAAGCATCTATGAAGATGGCATCATGGTAAGCAAGGCTGTGAAGGTCACTGTGAATGGAAAACTTCTGAAACCAGCAGGTAAGAATGAACGGGTCTGTTTTTCCACACAGAAATATAATTCATTATTGACCATAGTAATTTCAATAAGACAAAGCCAGCATTCAGAATTATCTAAGGGGGATGAGGTTTGAATTCTGGAGACCAAGAAATTCTGAGAATGGTATAAGGAAAGAAAAAACATGTCCAGAAGATGGGGGGTGGGGGGGGTGAGAGGGTGAGAGGGAGAGAGAGAGATAATAAATAGACAGAGAGATGATAGACATAGAGATAGATAAAGATAGATGATATATAGGATCAGAGATAGATAGATAGATAGATAGATAGATAGATAGATAGATAGATAGA